AGGCCGAGGCGAAGCGTCGTCTCGTCGTGGCCAGTTGAGTCGGCAGCAGCGACAGTGTTGCCGGCAGTGCCGGCAGTGCTGTTGGTGCCGGTGGTGCTGTTGGTGCTGGGTGTCTGGTGTTCGGGCTGTGTGCGAAAGCAGTTCTTGCAGACCGTTTTGCGCCATTGCTGCGGCTCAAAGACGGAGCACTCCTTCTTGCCCCGGCCGGCCAGTCCGCCGGCCTCCGTCGACTGTGGCAGAGAAGAGCGTCGGAACTGACCGCCGGCCTCCATGCCTCTGTCGCGCCAGAGGCTCCAGAGGCTCCAGAGGCTCCAGAGGCTCCAGAGGCTCCAGGGGCTCCAGGGGCCTAGTCGAAAATGCGGTCGCCTAAAGCCAGGCCGTCGAGCTCACAATGGGGAAGCCTGTTCCGCTCCACCGACTTGATTCGCCTTTATGCCCGCCGTTTGGGCAACACGCACACTCGGCACACTTGTGCACACTTGCACACACCTGCACACACCTGCACACACACACAAGCACGCGTCTACAGCCACACCGGACACTATTTGCCGACGGACAGTCAGACCGCGCGATGCCTGCGCCAGGGCAGGTGCAGAGACGGCGCCGACTATCGATCGAGCTAGGCCGGCTTGGTGCAAACAGGATGAAGACGGGAGTCGCGCCAATCGGGCTGGGGAGAGACACGCAGACGAACGACAAGAGCCTCCGTTGCCGGCACAGACGAGCGACTCGGAAGCGCACGTCCACACACGAAGACAGGAAGGCGAGAGCCCGGCAGGACCACCTCGACCGACCAGCCGCCATCTGGCCACGCCGCACGGCGTGACCCCGTCTTTTCGCGCCTGTGCTCCACCGCGCCCAGAGGACCACCGTGTCGGCCAATCAAAAGGCGGCCAAAGTGAACGCAACTAAACGAATCCTCGCACGCCAGCCTCATGTTGGACCAATCAGCAAGTGGCAGACAGGAAAATAGGACGAATGACCACATCAGCTTACGATCGATTGTCCCTCGCCATCTGCATCGCACGAGATGGCTCGGCTACGTGTTTTCGCGAGTTTCACTCCCGTCTGCATTCAAACCTCTCAGCACACACACACACACACACACACACACGTACAGCCGGAGGTGCGCACGACTGTGAGGAAGGCGGGCGGCAGCTGTGCCCGAGCGGGCAAATGAGGCAATATCGATCCATTCAAAAGCT